CATTGCCCACTCACTACATGCCCATCGCCCCATACACGACTCTTCTCAACCTTGCGCGGACTGTGTCTGTCCATGGAACCACTCAACGCTGCTATCCCGTGCTGCCACCAGCTCGATCCTTCGCAACGGCGATTGTATATTGATCTATTCGGTGTCGACAGAGGGTGTGTCCGACTTGTTGTCCCAGCGCCTTCGTTTCTGCGCCTTGGTGATGGCCAACTCGACGCCGATCGTGTTGGCATCAATCTGGGCGCCGTTGAGACCGATCGCTTTCTTTGCGCCTTCCGGCATGGCGAACGTGATGTGGGCAAAGCCACGGGACCGACCCGTTTCTTGGTCCTTCGCCAGCCGGATGCTTTCGATGGCGCCGCAGTGGTCAAACATCGACTCGAGGGTTTCTTCTTCGACGTCGTGGGGAAGGTTCGCCACAAAGATGGTGTCAGCCATCGCGGTGCCGCGACCCTGGGCAGGCGCACGTAACGAGTAGTTGATGCTGACGGGGCGTCCTTGGAGGAACGTGCCGTTGAGCTTGACGGCGGCGGCAGCGGCTTCTGCAGTCTCAAAATGGGCGAAACCGAATCCTCGGGACTTGTTCTCGTTGTCCACCACCAAATTGACATTCAAGACTGTACCGCAAGACGACAGGAGCTCGGTCACGTCGCCTTCGGTGAAGTTGTACGGCAAGTTGCCGATAAACACTTTCGAGTTGGGCGTGGAGTTCGTGTTGGCAGATCGTGCGTTGGTGTTGAGGTCGCGAAGGTGCTTGACGCGGATCCATCGCGACCCAAACATGCTTTCGTTCTCGGACAACGCGAGGGCAGCTTCTTCGGGGGTCTCGTACGTGATGTAGCACGTGCCATTGCTGCGTCCGTCTGGCGTTGTGGGGAACTCGAGCTTCTTGATCTTGCCATGCAACTCAAATCGCTGACGAACGTCGTTGTACTTTGAGTCGTAAGGGAGGCCGCCAATCCACACACACGAGGTAGACACGACAGGTCGAGGGACTTCAATCGACAGCGCACGGGCGTGCGTCAGCGAGAGCACCGTCCAAGGCCGCAGGCTCATCGCATTGCCATTCGCAACATGCATTGCATTGGCACCGATGACAAGGTTCATCTTTGAGGTCATGGCCAAGCGCCGGACGCAACTCGACATCATCTCGCTCGATGTCAGCGCGGGAACGATACTTCTGCCACCACCCTTTTTTCAGCAGCCCATCTACCGGATAATGTTGGTAGCATATCCGGATCATTGGACATGCCGCAATGTGGGAACAAGTCGAAGTGCGCGGCGACATTGTTGGCTTGCCGCTGCGGCTCCGCGTGCGCTTCATTCACGATGGTACATGCAGCGTGGAGGTAATGGATTGTCCTGACGAGGTCGGGTTCGATAACATTGCCATTTGGGACACGAGCTACTGTGTCCGCCAACGCACCAAGCATCTCCAAGGTTTCATCAGCATCGCAGCAGGACCGGTCGTGGCCCAGCTGCGCTTCGTCGGCAATTACGATCCCGACGACGGGACGCTCATCGGCAAGTGGTTTGATTGCCTTCATGTGGACCACACCACTGGCGAATTCCACTTTGAACGGACCGATGGCCCTACACGTCCCCCCAATCGCGAGTTTGACGAGAATTTGGCTTCCCTCACACCCCTCGTCCCAGGCCAATATCTCTTTCGCGGCGCTGCCGTCGGCGGAAACGGTCGCATTTACCATTCCCGAATGGTGATCCAACTCCGAATCGATGGTACCGTCACCGGCACAGTCCAGGAACGCCTGTACCCTCAGGTAAGCCGCCGCCGCGGTGCATCCCCAACATCATGTTTTCTCGTGCATTAGACCTGTATCATCACCGGTCAGTGGTCGGCACACCAACTCGGCTGGCATATGAAATACGCTGCCGATGGCAATGTTTCCGAGTACTTATACTACGGCACCCCGACGCGGCGGCAGCTCCGCGGGCTCTGGCAACTGGCCGAAGTGGACTCTGTCGAGTCGTTGGCGCGAGAAAGCGGCCACTTTGACTATGCCCTGGTCGCTGCGCATCGCCAGTGGAGCCGCGACGTCCACCACACGTTCCCCACCGCGTTTCGACGAGTCGCCCGCACGGTTCTGCTGTCGAAACCAACCAACTCGTCGACGCACGCTCCAAGCAGGTCTAGACCTGGTGTGCTCCTGCCCGCGGATATTTGGTGTCAAGTGTTCTCATTCGTGCACTCGGAATGGTGGACACCTTTGTAGCTTTTCCTGCCATCGCATCTTGTCCAGAACATCGCCGCATCCAGACTCCCCTTGCCGCTGAAGTGCCATGCAGACCGTCAGCCAGCGTACACCTTGAGATGGGGGGCGCAATCCTTGCATGGCTGGCCATGCAGCGGCCAAAAATACAATAGGGCTTGCGCGACGTCGCCATGGATGCTCTCATAGCCCTTCAACTCCATATAAAAAAAGCGTCGAGACAAGTGCCGACTCGCGTATAAATAGAGGCGCAGTGGGTGGTGGTGAAGCTAGAGCTGGTAAAAGCATCGGTCGCACACTCGCACGGGCGTGTTGATGCCATACGACGGCAGTGGCGCGCGCTTCTTGGAGCATCCGTCGCAAATGAGCCATCCGCAGTTCCTAGCCATCACATTTGGTCAAACCATGCCCCGTTGATGACGTCCATCCAACCTGCAATTGTGCTGGTCGACGTTGGCCTGGGCTTCGCTGGACGACGTCGAATTCCACGTGAACGGGCTGTCGCAGCACTGGCACCGCGTGTACGTTTCGAACGGGACCCACGCGGGGGGTTTGGCCTGGGCGCGCCGCGAGTCGCGCACGATCCGGAGCGCCTCCAAGTAATTGCGGCCCAAATGGTCGGCCAGCATGTTTTCGTATACTTGAATGCGCGACAGCGAGTCGCAGTCGCGGCTCACATGAACTGCTTCGTAAATTCCATGCACGAAATAGATGTGCGTGATTTGCCCCGGCACAAACAACTCGACCGAGTCCTTGGTCTCTAAATCCACGTCAGTGTCGGCTGGGTCGTCGTCGCCTTTGGCCGCCATCGACGACGGCGGCGGCGGTGACGCTTCTTTGTACTTGTCCATGAGATTCGATCGATTCAGCGTCCATGCTTCTGCCACCGCAGGGGTACCGTCGCCGGTGGACGCTTCGATGTCGGATGGCGGTACAACGACGTTCACGCCTCGGACACGGGCAGCTTCCTGCTGGGCCCATTCCCGCTTCCGTGGCGCCCACAGTGACACGACGCGCGACTTGACAGCGCTCAAATCCTCGTGGACGTACTGCGTCCAGTTGTCGCGAAAGTGTTTCAGGTCGGCCGACAGCTTTACAATGTTGTGGGTCGTCGCGCGAGGGACAAAGTCGTCGCGCAGCACAATCGAATGCACGTACGGGACGCAGGCTTCGGCAATGTCGCGGCTGGCGCAGGCTGGTACAGCATAGGCAAAACATTCCAAGTCGGGAAACTCGTCGTGGAGCATCACGGACAAGAGCGCGGCGACGCCACCGCCGAGCGAGTGACCATTGATCATGAAGCGGTACCCATGACGGTAGAGTTCCTTCAATGAATCGTGGACTTGGTGCTTGACCCACGTTGCGGCCTTGACCATTCCGTGGTGCGCGAACGAATCGAGCGGCCCGTTCGTCGCACAGTCCTTGGAACTGGCGCCGTTCGCCGCCGACGCAATTTGAAGATCGGTGAGCACATCTTGGACCGTCTTGGAGCCGCGAATCATGAGAATCCCGAGCTTCTCGTCCGGCTTCACGACGAGGCCGAAGGCTGGCTGGTTGGCCGTTCGATTCTCCACCGATGCGTACACGAGGGTGTACCCTTGAAGCTTAGCAAAGCGCTGCATGTCGAGAATATCGAGCTCGTACACGCAATGGAGCGTGATCGGGGCATACTTGATCATGCGGGCGAGCAAGGCGTCTGACACGACGGGGCAACACGTGTGTTGGTCCTCTTCCAGCGAAGGACTCGCGCCGCGAAGTCCACGGTTCGCCGCCATAAAGTAATACATCCCGAGCGATGCGTCTTGCACCGTCAGCGACTCCATGTCTCCCAGCAGTTCCTTGAGCGTGTTGAACGACTGCATGAACTCGTTGCGAAGGACAAAACCCAGCAACCCTGCGCGGCCATACTTTCGAATAAAGTCCGCACTCACAACAGCCATGCGCGCTGTCGCCCCGAGCGGCACGTTTTTCGCAGCGACAAGTGTCCCTTCGGCGGCGCGATATGCCTTGTCCAGAGTCGTATCGGTCGCTACACTTACGTACGGCCGCAACACCCCCGCAAAAAAATCCTACCAAAGTGCCACATCCTTGAGCCCGACTGCTGCACAAGCAAGGGCACACGGGCTCCAGCTGCTTGTACGTCTCGAAAAAAAAAGACTCGGGAAGCAGTACCTGCACGCGCTCGACGCGCCAGTGGCGCTGCTGTGTCTCGATCTTTTGGTGGAGTAGCGACGAGCAAGTCGAGCAAATTTTGGAAACTTTCGTGCCGCCATACGCATGGAGGCGGGCTGTCGATGGAAGATGGTCGCGACAAAACGAGTTGGCACAGTACCCACAAAAGTAGCGGTACTTGGCCAGCCCGAATGGAGTGCTGCAAGCGGTGCACGTCGGCGACTCTACCGGCTCTGGTGCGTTGTCAGGGGCAAGGGACGAAGTTGAAGCGCAGCACGACACGAGCTGCTTTTCAAACGGGCTCAAGTCCGGAAATCGCCGCGTCGAGTTGGTCGATGCCGACGACGGGTGCGTCGTCGAATGCGGCACCACGGTTGTTGGAGTGGCATCGAAGACAGATACCGTCGCCATGTGCGCTGTGTCATAGGCGTATGCAGAGACTTCTTGGACTGCATTTAATGCCGAGGAGAAGATTCTCAAGTACGACGACGACGACGACGGGGGCTTCGACCCATCATCCGTCAACGCGATGGAGAGAGGGGGTGTGTGGGACGTGTCCTTGGCAACAGGCGCCACTTCGACTGACACATCGACGGCAACGCGAACCGGTTCAGTCGGGGAGGTGAGTGGAGGAGCAGTGGCAGTGGGGGTCAGTGGACGGGATTGGGGAGGTGATGTTGAATGTGGCGGGACGGGCCTGCTCGAGGGTGGACTTTTCAACGACGTGGGTCCTGATGCATGGTGCAACAGGGTGTGGATTGGCACGACGACGTTTCCTTGGGCGTCTCGTTGAGTCTTGTATCCCATCCAGACCCGGCTGCGCACGACAGTCGTCGCGCTCTTCTTGCCAAACGCCCCCCCCTTGTCAAACGAAGTGTTGTAGATCCATCCGTTCTCGTCGTACTCGGCCTTTCCTTTGTAGATTTGCCACGTGTAGTCGACAAACTTGGCCTTGTCCTTGGGAACTGTCAGCGACGAGTCGGACCACGCCGGCGGGTCTTTCTCCAGCAACTTGTCGGACCAGCCCTGCACACGCACGTGAGCACGAACAACACGACGTTCACGAGGCAATAAAGAAGCTTTCTCTTCGTACCGACAGCGCATACCATCGTTGGTTCTCCACCACTTCTTCCATAATGCAAGGACCTCAACTGCGCGAGCCGCTGTTCTGAAGACTCCGACCCGGCGGGGGTGGGTACCCTAAAAAAACCTTTGTCCTGGCAGCGGGTGGGGGGACCCACCCAAATCCTTGAAACACCTGCATTCCGTACCTGCATTCTCACGTGCTCTGTCGCCCAAGCCAGCATCGCCGCGTTCGGGATGCGAGCTTTGCCTGGACTGCAGCAGCATGTCGGCTAAGATGGGATCGATCGAATGAAGATGTATCGTCTCTGACATGCGTTCGAGGCGTCTGTATGCCGCAAGATGAACCGTGTGCCCCTGGCCACCACCGTACGCGGTGAAGTGAGCTGGCCACCGAGAATCGCAGTAGAGGTGTTTGAACGAGTTACCGGTTCACCTGCCTCGCATCATCGTTGGATTATGGGATTGGGGCGATGCGAGGATAACCCATCGTGACTTGATCGAGAACATTAAGTGAGGTGACCTTTCTGTGGTCGCATTGCGTTAGCACATGCAGCATGACTGAGAGAAACGCAATGCGTGAATTGGAAGGACAGTGCCATCGCCACAGCTTCGAGACGTTGGCCCTGGCAGGACCGTCACATTATAGTGGTGCTCGTGCCCCCTGGCTGGCTCCCACGTGCCGTCCCCCTCGAGCGCCATGGACCAGCCCACGGTATCGACAACGTCTTCATAGTGTCTAGAACGTTCGCAACCATGGATTTGACGAAAAACGCCCGCAACCTTTTCATGTCCCGCCGTAACACGTCACGATCTTGCAAGGGTTGCTTGCGGTTTCGACGTAATCCGAGGGTTTCACGGTTGCAGCGCCACCACAACCAACGATGCGTGTGCGTCGGGACGTGTCATCCCTACCATTCAGGCATCGTCTCCCATGCGCAGCTTCCCACGGGCGATGGTCCTTTGCGCTGTCGCCAGCAGCTCTCGGCTCCCCCCGCCACGGCGCAACTTCAACCGCACTTTGCATGACCTACCACCCCATGAGATGGGAATATTTTTAATGCACCGGAGGACGGAGAACGGCATGTCGGCCATGAAGAAATTGAATTGCATACAAAACTGTAGTAAAATCGGAAACGATAAAAAAATCAGAGGGTGGAAAGAAATTGGATTTCAGGATTTATATCGTTGTTTTTCCACAAACGACCTTTCACCGAGATCTGGGGCTCCAGCGACCACAGGAACGAACTGGCGACGGCATGGTCAGACCTGCCGCCATCGCCACTGCTACAACCTCGAGTAGTGACGCGATGCCAACTGCCGCTGTCTTCGCTTCCTCTCCTGCCTTGAACGTCCAGTGCAATCGCGGCGACGACGACGTCATCTTGATGGTGCCATCCGAGGAGTACTCGGTCTCGCTCCTGCGAAAGCAACTCAACAGCATCGGATTCGAACGAACCCGCTCGGCTCGCATGCCAAACAACGGCGAAACAGCGCCCTCCGTGCATTATGCCAGCCTCACATTCGTCCAACCGACGACACCGCCCACATCCCCGCAGCCCAAGGACTTGTTGCGACACCACTTGAAAACGCGACAGAAACAAACGGTCCTCGACAACACGAGTTGCCACATCATGTACGTTGACGCCATGGACGTCAGGAATACAGCGCGAGGTGGTTCGCAGTCGGCATCATCATCATCATCGTGTCCGTCCGGCCACCACCAGTTCAAAGAAGGGCTGCGAAAGCGCAAGAGCAGCTTCATGTCCGACGACAACTTTGCAGAGCCCGACAACGACGACGTTGCGATGGACCCCGCTGGCGAAACCCAACCAAACGATCCGACGCCAAACAACGCTCAAAAACTGGCGGAGTTTCACCGGGATGCGTACGGATTCCAGCTCCTGGATCACGGCAGAGGCAACTTTGCCGCATGTAGTTGAGCGTCTAGCCTGTCCTCCGGTGTACACTATGTTCACAATTCAACCCGATTTCAAGGACGATCCATCCACACGAAGGGTATATTTGTCATCTTCGCATCAGCCTAAATACGCCGCCACTAGAACTGGCGGAAGCCACCGTTCCCACCAAACTGCTGCTGTGGTTGCCCGTATTGTTGCTGGGGTTGGCCGTATGGAGGCTGCCCGTACTGAGGCTGCCCGTACTGTTGCTGGGGCTGGCCGCCGTACTGCGGCTGGCCATATTGCTGTGGTTGACCAAACTGCTGCTGCAGGTGACCGTACTGAGGTTGACCATACGGCGGTTGCTGCGTAGCAGGATAGAGCGGCCCTGGTGCGCCTCCCGCCGGACGGGGCTTGTTTGGCAAGCCTGCCAACGTGTCTAGGCCTTGGAAGCTGTTTTGAGTCGCGAGTCCTGGAGCCCCGCCAGGTCCGGGTTTTGCTCCAGCTGAAGGCAGCGACTGACCCAAGTTTGACAGATCGAACAAGTTGGAGCCCGCGCCCCATGCATCGTTCGATTTCGGTGCAGTTGCCGTGGTAGCCTTCGTTTGCGAGCTGTACTGCGCAGGGTTGGCCATCGGCTGCGAACCATATTGCGCAGCATTCACAGGAGCAGGTGGCGCGGCGAATCCACCGGCGCTGATGCCAGACTGGCTTCCATACTGACCACCAAACGCTTGGGTTGCAGGTTGCTGGCCCTGTGGAGGGAACCCACCACCGAACCCTGCGTTAAATTGGTTCAAGCCACCGCCCATTTGCGGCGGTGGCGCAGAAAAGTTGCCTTGTGGCTGCGGCGGGAAAGCATTGAAAGCAGACATGGCTGGCGCGGGGACCGGGCCACCAAAGTTGCCATACGCACCGGCGGTAGTTTGGGGTTGTGGGGCGGCAGGCGCCGGAGCAAACGGGTCAAATGTAGTCACTACAGCGATAAACTGTGAACTAGAGTCACGGGGCAATCCGTCGTACGTGAAGCAGGAGGTTGGGCAATTGGGGCGGCAGGAGCTCCCCCGAAAAAGTCTTGATCGAGGAGGGAAGGCGCGTTGGATGGTACGCGCACGGGCTCGTCGTCGTCACCAGCAGGAGCCTACCATGAGTCAAACAAGTCATTTCACATAGACGTCCGTGGAAACGAGCAACCGCTTCTTCCTTCTTCGTTGCTCTCTTTGTCTTCGAAGATCGGCGAGGCTTGGGCTTGGTCTAAGCGACAGATACGGCTCAACAACAACGCTTGACGGCGACTACCTCTTCCTCCGATTCAGCGTCGTCAGCTGGAGCTTGCTTGGACGAATACTTGTCGCGGCTCGACGTGCGGCTGTTCCCGTGCGAATTGTCTTGGTCGTATCGATCGCGGCTCCCTGTCCGGTCGTTGCCAAAGCCGCCCGAGCTGCCACCGTACCCACCGGAGTCATTGCCATAACCACTCGAGTTGCCGCCATAGCCACCGGAGTTGCCGCCATACCCGCCAGAGTTGCCGCCGTAGCCACCGGAGTTGCCGCCATACCCGCCGGATTCATTCCCGTACCCGCCACTGGAACCACCATAGCCCCCCGAGCCACTTGAATTGCCATACCCGCCTTGACCACCGTAGCCGCCGCCAGAATACCCTCCAATGTTGCCGGACGAGCCGACACCAATGTACTTATCTCGCAGCCTCTTTGCTTTCTCGCGTTCGTCACGAATGCGGTCGTTGTCGTTGAGCATGTCGAGAATTTGCTTCACCTTTTCCCGCACTAAGCACACGATGAAAGGGGGTTTGTCATGAAGCAAATGGAAAATCATGACGTACCGCCCGCGCCCTTGTCGGCTGAACCATCGTAGTAGTTGAAGTCGGACAACGTGCGGAGCTTGAACATGTGATCCCGCGCGTTTTCAACGACGCGCTCCGTGCCGTTCTTGATCAAGTGATCAAGGAGAGCAAGTGCCTTGAATACAGTGCGCCATTGACGCCCTTCCGCATCCATGGCTTCCCACACTTTTTTCATCACGAGGTTGTAGGATTCGCTAGGACGTTCTCTTCATGTTTCGCTCCACAATCAGGGTGTACACGTACTACTCGAAGGTAAGTTGGGCAATTTCATTCAGGAGCGTGCTTGACGCGCCCCAGTTCTTGTTCGACAGTGCTTCCTCCAGCTTCTTTTCTGTGTCCGTGCCCATTTTCGATTTGACCAACCCCTTCCTATTCTCGTCAAAGGTGCATGGGTAACCCGATACGGGCATAGGAACAATGGCAGCTAGCACTCACGCATCATCCAGGGCGTTCTTAAACTTGTCAATCATGAGCTTGTCCATCGCTGCCGGCTTCCTCCCCTTCGTGCAGTCAGCTGGACGGTTGCAAAAGCTTTATCGAAATCCCTCGCCCGATATGAAATCCTTCCACCCTTGTCCGGAAAAAAATTGGGTGAACTACGGATAAACATCCGGAGAATACCGGATATTGACCCGCCGCATGCGTACAATTCATTGCTGGGCGACAAACACGCCAGCCATGTCGTGGCATTGCCATGGACCACGCTCCCACCTCGGAGTGTCATGAACCCGCCGGCGATGCCAAAGCATGCAGCCAGCTCCTGTCACGGAATGAAACCTCTCCAGCATGCTACTTCAATGCCTATCCGTCATAGAAACGGCATCCCAATGCCACTATCCCCAGGAACTGCGGTCCGAAGATGCGCCAATTGAAGACATCTCCCAACAGAGAGCACTTACTTTGTGGGATATTGGCTCCATGACAAGCAAGCGGTAGTGGGCTGAATGCTGAAAGAACCCCGCGGCTTGAAACCCGTGGAGGAGGTGGTGAAGTCGACCCTTTGACCCTCGTGTCAGCAAGCCCTTGGCAATCCGAGCCGACTGAATGGAGCAGATGCAGTCCGCACAGGCCACCCGCTCCCCGGCTAGCTCACATAGCTGTCGTACGTACACACTGGAGCCTTTACGTACGACAACTACGTGATCTACTTGCCGGCAGACGCATCCAGGTCCCCCATGCACATCTCCACTTGGGGCGATGCGGCAGAAGTGGAGCCCTCTAAAGTGCGACTCTCCAGCGTTCTTAATTGAGTTCACATTAGTTCTGCATTGCAGTGCTGGGAGGTGAAAGATGGAGGTCCCGACGGACGACATCCGCTTCCAGATCGAACTCGAGTTCGTTCAGTGCCTTGCAAGCCCGTCGTATCTGAACCGTAAACGAGTCGGCTTGTCAAGGGCATGCGGGTCTCATGCTTGTCTAGACCTGGCCATCAACAAGTACTTTGACAATCCTGCGTTCCTCCACTACCTCCAATACCTCAAGTACTGGAAGAAGCCCGAATATGCGCGCTACATCAAGTAAGTCCTCCATTGCCTCTGTTCGTCAGATAAACCCACTTGCATGATGCAGCTACCCGCACGCGTTGACGTTCCTCGACCTGCTCGACGGGGAAAAGTTCCGACAGGTAGGTCGATCTCGTCCTCAACGTCAAAGAAAGGTGCATGCGTACATCAAACGCCCCTCCGTTCCTACATTAGATGATTGCCCACGACAACTTTCGCGACTTGGTGCATCAGCAACAAGGACTGCACTGGATGCACTACCACAACAATCGCGTCAAGGCCGCGGAGGCTGCAGCTGCATCACCAGACACTGTCGCGTCCGAATAACACGATCTTCCATACCCCACGGCATTTGGCGTGTAGTGCATTGTGACGCGGGCCTTTGGCAGTGCGAGCATGGACATCATTCCAGCAGGTATCGCAGTGCAGACGACAACAGATCCTCCTTTGGATGAGAGACTGTGCTGTGAACCTTTTCTTCTCGACATGCACATCTACTTCACGCTGCTCATACCTGTATCACTCGCGCGACTCGGTACGACAGCGGATGGTGGCGGCGGCGACTGCATCTTGGGGGGACGAGTGGTGTTGTGAACAGCATGGCCTTCATCTATTATTTATCGCGAAGATATACATGCCAATTCATTCGCGCCACAATTTTTTTGAATTTGGACGCGGAAGGTACACACGGCCGTCATGTGGTCACTTCCTCGACGTCTGTCGCTTCGAATGACCACATTCTCCCGTAGTCCCGCTGCCAAGATGCGTGCCAAGGCCACGCTGTACCACAACCCGTCCTGCTCCAAGTCGCGCTCGGCGCTGGGCATCCTCTCAGACTTCAATGAAGGACGTCCAGCAGCGGAACAGGTGTTGTTCGACGTGGTGGAGTACCTTCAGACGCCGCCAGATGCCGCAACGATCGAGTCCATCTTGAGAATGCTTCCACCCGACGAGCAATCATCGACGTTATTGAACCCGCTTCGAATTGTGCGCACGGGCAATGCGGAATTCACTGCGTTGCATTTGGATCAGTTGGACCCAACCAACGCAGTGGACCGTCAACAGTTGCTCGAGGCAATGGTTTCCCATCCGAGCTTGATTGAGCGGCCGATCTTCGTCAAAGACGACCGCGCTGTCATCGGACGACCTCCCGAGCGCGTGTTGGATTTGCTGCACTAACATCGGTCATTTCCAATACAACAGCAGTGGATACGTCGTTGCCAGTGCCCCAGTACTTCAGTTGGCCCGTTTATATTCATGAAACTTACAACAACGGTGGGATGCAAGCTACCGAGATCTTCTACTTGGCCTTCATCTTGGCCACAAGGTCCGTCATGTGTTTGCTGTCTGGTACCACGTGAACATTCTCCACGTTATCGTGTTCTCGACGGGAAATGGGTCCATTGTCGGCGCGCTCCGACGGCAGCAGCTCCAGGAACGTTGCGTGGGTCAGCGGTTTGATTACGTGCTTGAGCTCGACAGCCGAGTCGAACACAGCCTTCTTCCCAAACACGTACAGACCAAAGCGGGCTCGGGAGACGGCCACGATTGCGCGTCGGACGTCGCGAATGTGACCGACGTGGCGCGTGCGGACGAGCGACAGAAGCACAAAGTCCCTTTGCTGCCCTTGGAATTCGTCCACGGTAGCGATCGACGAAGGCAACCCGAATGCAGCTTTTCCCGGCTGGAACATCGACCACAGCAATTCCTTTTGACCGGCGTATGTGGTCAAGACGGCAATGCGGTCGGCCGCATACCCGATCAGGCGCATGTACTGGAATACCTGCACCAGATACAGTCCCTCGAGGTGGTTCTCAAACGCATGCGGACGCGGAGACGTCTCGGATCCTCCTGGAACCTGCATTGAACACGCGTGAAACACGGCACAACGAGCGAGCCGTCGGCGGCGACACGTACATCGATAAACTGAAACGTGTGGCGAAAGCCTGGATTGGCCATGGTAAACGGCGGCGCCGACGTCACAGGCTTCAAGTCGGTCAAGTCCTGAAGGAACCAACATGACGATTAAGACGACCACGACAGATTGTACACTCTGGGCATGGGCACCGTACCTTGTACCTCCACTTGAAGAGGGCGGCAATGGAGGGTCGCGTGCGGCCTTGCTGATCCAGTTGAATGGCTGGCGCGCCGAGACGAATCAGTCGCGAGAATAGACTCTGGTCCAAGTTGGAAAAGTTGGCGAGGGGACGGTTTTGCACGACTGGGGGCAGCTGCAAGTGGTCGCCAAACAGCACGACGCGGCTCAACTGTGTCGTTGTCTTTTGCAGGAGCATCGGAACAAGCGACTCGATCTCGCTCACTTGACCAGCTTCCTCCATGATCAACGTGTGGTACTGGAAGCCCATGTCGATGAACCGCTTTCGATTCAACGCGGCTTGCGTGCACGTCATCGCGACGACGCGCGCATGCTTGACCAAGAGATAATCGCCTCGTTGCTTTGGCGTGCGAAGCACTTCCAACGCACTCAGCGTCGCGAGTTCGGCAAAGACACGTGCGAGGTACTCGAGTTGACCGGTCATGGTCGTGGCGTGGGTGAACGCTGCGACGACCTTTCGCAAGTCGACGTGGTCTTCTGTCGACGTCAGTGCGGGGACGAGGTGCCGGGTGTAAAAGTAGTCGGCTTGGGCACACGAGTGCGACGCGCCAGACGTGGCACCGGCGCCGCCCAGTGCTTGCGCCAGGTGCTCGACTTGGTCGAGAAGCAGCGCGCGACGGGCCAGAAGAAACGCGACCCGGCCCGTTTTGGTAAAGTCCTTTGCGTAGTCACGTTCGTCTTTCGTGGTCGACACCGTGGTCCCGCCGCCGCCAAGTCGAAGCAAATGCCCGGGGTCGACCACGTTCTTGGCCAGCAGCTTTTCGAAAATATCGTCGAGCGCGTGGTTGGCATGAGTGACCACTACGAGGCGCTCCGTGGGGTGCGCTTGGTACAAGTTGGCAATCAGTTGCACCGCGACGTCCGTCTTTCCCGTCCCTGGTGGCCCCACAACGAGAGTGAGGCCCTCGTGCATCCCGCTCGCAATCGCTTCCACTTGCGTCGGAGTGAATTTGACCGAACGAGGGGCGGTTCCTTGCAGCTTCGGGCCGACTTCGACGACGACGCTGTCCTTGTCAGTCACGATCGAGTACGTGCCAGAGTCCTGATCGTTCGCATTGGCAGGTTTCTTGGTCGTGGCATCGATCAACAGCACCTGCTTGGCCTTGGCGAACGAAGACGCCGCGTGAGCATTGTCCGCGAACGTGTCAAAAAGCAAAAGCTTGGCGGGTTGCTTTGCTTTGTTTGACGGGTGGCTGTGGTGCGCCGACGCCGGGTCGCCATAGCCAAGAAAGACATCGGCCAACCACGGAGGCAGCACGCGCGTCGGCGATTGCTCTTTGAGGACGTCTTGGATAGTTTGCAGCACCGACTTAAAGTTGTTGACCTTGGCGTCCCGTCGCACGATCACGTTCAGGGTTGTATACACGTCCGTGTTGCCGCTCGCTACGTCCTTTGCGTACTGAACCCCGTCCAAACTGACGCGGAACACGCGGCGGGTGCCCTTGCCTTGAGTGCGAACCAACGATCCATCCGGACCCTCTACGAGGTCCCCGATCGCCGTGCCATGGCCGTCCAGCACTTGCAGCACAGTTGCGCCACGGACGCTCTGGACGCCGTACCTTTCTGCTGCGTTCAGGACAGACATGTTTTGGTCGTCGTGGGGGACGGCGGCAGGATCGACATGCAGGAGAAAAATCACTTGATTCGGTTGCTGGAGCGCGGCATCCCATGCCGTGACCACGTCGGACGTCAAGTCCACCGTGACTTGAGCAATCACTTGCGACGGATGGAGCTCGCCGATCGCAGGCTGGTCCACGCGGACGATCTTGAGAGCTTCCAAGAGTGATGCCATGGGATGGCGGCGGCGAAAGGCGGGCCGGCGGAGGTTGCCTGACGGCTGTGGCTTGAGCACGTGCAAAGCCTGTTCCAAGTCGGACCGGACGCCAGAAGCCGCCTCGAGGCGAAATAACTCGTAATTGCGGTAGAGGTAATCGGGCAGACTGAGGAACTGGAGGTTGAGTTTCCGCGTCGAGAGGATCGTGTGGCGGTCGTCATCCAGCGACACCATGTCGGGGGCCCACAGGTCCCCTTCCGTTGGGAATAGCGGTAGCGAAGTCAGCGTCGGCGGCGTGTGCAGCGCAAACCGGTCAACGAATGCATCGACAAGGTCGACGTTTTCATCGGAAGGCTGGACAAGCCCCGACGAAATAGCAAAGGGAAACAGCACCTCGTCTGCCACAAGCGCGAGTTGGGTTTGCAAAATCGACCGGTTGCTCAAGGCCGAGATCGGGAGAAGCGACAACGCGTGCAGCGACGGATGCGCGGCAAACGCCGCCACTTGCAAAGCATGCGCGCGCGCAGCGACGTTCGCTTTGTGCTCGACAGCAGTCCACGCGTGACCGGTCTGGTCGTCGAGTGGAAAATGCACGTAAAAATGGAGCAATTCTACTTGCTTCGACAGCAACGCGTGGTTCGTGGCAAAGGCGCTATGGCGACACGCCATCAGCAAATGCAAATGCACCACCAGCGAGCGGAGAAAGCGGCGCGTCGGCAGCTGGCTCATCAGATCGATCCACAGCTCTAGGGCATGCGCGAGGTAATGCGCGACGTCGTCGTCGGAGTCGCCAGAAGCTGTGACTGCTCCGTCGTGGCGCAAGACGGACTTGAGATCGTGGAGCAACCCAACGTAAAAATCGCTGTCGAGATCGTCTGTTGCGCTGGCACCGGACGGCGAGGGAGCGACCTTACGCTTCTTCGCCACGGGGCTGGAGGCAGACGGCTGTGCCACGATGCGGTTCTGCCAGTGGCGTTTGAGCTTGGGGTGGTCCGCAAAGACAAGATTTCTCTGGGTGTCGGACAAGTGCTTCCACGTTGGCAGCGATGCGTACTTCAGCATCGTCTTGGCGACATGAGCGTGCTCAAGATGACGAATGCCATGCGTGATGAAGCGTAAGAGGCGCGCGTGCTCCTGCAGACTCCAGGACGCAAACGAATGGCCATGTTTGGCGCGAAACAGCGCGTCAATGTAAGCTGCATACTTCGAACCGTCCACGGACGCCCACAGACGCCCATCAGTCTCATTGGAGAGTGCAACCATCGACAGCAGTAAGACTCTGTCCGTCGCGTGCGTCTCCGCGTCAAAATGGTGCCACAGGTAATTTTCCAGATAGCCCGTCGAGCTCAAGAGCGAAATCTCGTGATAACGCGACGAAGGATCTTTGTTTGGCACGTGGTCCAAGTACGTCTTGTAGATGTGTGCAACCAACTTTGGGTCGAACGCCGACACCTCGTTCTGTTGACATACATGAGGACCACCAAGTCACATGCACGGGCCACCTACCTCGTTGATCCAGTTCTCTGCCAAGGAGCCGACGCTTCGTCCAGCCCAGAGGTCCTCTGCAGCCGAGTTTGCCGGCGTGGGTTCGTTCGTTTTGGCAGCTTTCCCCATCCTTTGATCTCGGTTTGAATTTCTTGCAGCCGCAGCCGCAAACGAAGTGGTTTGATTGGATAAAATAAAATACCAGGATTTGACGAATTATATGCCTTCGTTTCAGCAATGTTTTGATCAATTGGACAACATTTATTGTTTTTATCCAATAAGACGCGTTCGAGAATCCACATTTTGTCGACAAGCTTCCACCGCGTCCATCTCGTGCTTGGAGAGGACAAAACGGTATGGCTTTGAGGGAGCGACTGCCGCGTGCTCCTTGACGAATGGGTGGCAAAGGGAAAAGAGCGAGCGGCACACGTTGGTGTCGTAGGGCTCGTCGTCTTCGACCGTGGGGACAGCAATGATGCCTCGTTGGTTGAGCCATGATACCAAAACTTCCTCCGGCGTCTATCCAACCAAGCGATTGGATTCGTTCGCGCATGGCGTCAACATGGACGGCTCTGAGCTTACCCGTCGCGACTCTAAGCGCACGTTGCAATTCTTGATGGCCTGGTTGATCGGTGCGGTCGCGTTCTCCACGCGCACGGTCTCGAACGGGAGGTTCAGTTGAAACCAGACGGTCTGATGCGCTGTCGTGATGTCTGACACGAGGGACATCCATTTGGTTTTCTGTGCATGCGTCAACGACTCCATTTGGATCGAAAAGCATGCGATGACGTCGATCTGCCTGGAATGGCAGAACTGCACCATGTGCTCGTGGGGCGAGAACGGAGTTACGTCGTGGACGCATTGGACTTCAACGGGGTAGGACGGAAACCGTCGCAGCAGGAATTCTAGCTCGTGGATGGGGAAGTCGCACACGCCAATGTGATCGGCTAGACCGGCGGTGCGAAGGGATACCATTGCCGTCCACGCGTCCACCAGCGCCGACGTGCGAACCTACCAAGCGGTCATCAACGAGATAGCCATTCCTTTCTCGATAAAACCTGTACCAGTCCTTGCACAGGCAACAATGCGGTAGAGTACAGCACGACGTCGAGCCGACCGACGTTGAGCTTCGTCGCAACATCTTTGCACTTGGTCGCCATCGCATCCATTGATGACCACGTCGAGCTACATTGACAGACAATACAAATGTCGTCGCGGGTTACGTGGGAGTCGGCCATGAGGTCGCGCAGTGCCGTTTTCGCTTTGCCGTGTTAGCAACCAGGAAAACAAGCACCTCGTGTACCTGCAGCGAGTTGGGACGCATCGTCTGGCGACGAGATGAAGATGCCGTGCGCCCCGAGGCTCAGCGCACTCGTCAGGTTGCGACGATCGTTGTCGTTGCTGGACAACGAAAAGAGCACGCGGTGGCGCTCACGGAAGAAGCTGCGCCTTCCCGTGAACGAATACGCCCACATTGACCAGGCAAGCGACCACGACTTGCAAGCAATCGATGGCAGTTACATCGGTTACATGCATCACAGGTCGTGGCACATTTGAGCTCGAGCCACGCGCAAGTGCATCACGTTGAAGAGCACGCCATGGTATCAGGAGACCTCGTGTGGCGAAACCCCGTGGACGGCGCAGTCGCACGCAGTCCCCTTGCACGACAGGGGAGGGAGTATGCATGACCGCAATGACGTTTTTCCGTTAACTCCTCATGTTGGGACCTTTCAAAGCCACGTGAGCTGGGTCCCCCGTAGGCCAGGTCTATTCAGCCAGCTTTGGTTGCCCACCGTTGCATGCGTCACTGAAGGTTCCACTGGTGCTGCACGGCGGGTATCCAGGCATAGGCACATGCACTTTATGGGCGGCAGGATCCGAGTAGATTTGAACCATGCGTTTCCAGCAGCCTGCGTCTGGCTTCTCTATGTTTAGCTGGTTTGCACGTAACCCCCTCGTCGCAGCAGTTCCAAGTGGCTAGCCTGCGAACCCCCCACGGCTTGAACCTGCGCGAATGAGTCATGGAAGCGCCGGAGGTGCTCCTGCTCCTCCTCGCCTGTCGCTGGGGTCTCCTGCGACTGAACTTCACCCGAGCAACTTTGTTGTTGTGAAAACCGTCAGCCGCAACTCGTACCACCACCCGACGATCCAAGAAAACGACGAAAGGGTGCGCAGCGGCCTGAACAGCAACATCAGTGCATTCAACTTTTCTGCAGACTGTGCGGACACCATCGAGCACTTGTCGCGCCACAACGAAGAGGACTTCGCGGCCGCTGTTCTCGCCAGTGGCGATAAACTCGTGTATGGGGACATGATTGAGCTGTACGGAACGGCCAAAGGTGCCACGTGGAACGACGTCCCGGTGGGTTTGCGTCCACTGGCGGACACTGGCTTTGTCAATCCACCGTCCGAAGACCAAGTGGTGTCATTGCTAGCTTCAACGTCCTCGGCACTGGTGCATCCGGCGCGGTTTGTAGTGTACGTGAGCTCTCCTCGAGTCCCTCGAGTTCTCGCGGACGATCTCGAACACCCTGACGATTGGACGCGATGTTGTAGCTTGCCGCCTCATGGTGACCCAACCGTCGTGCTTGGTACGACGACCGTGCACCTCGGCAAACCTTTCGTTTTGGCTCCTGTTCTATCCTCGACGAACGCACCGAGTCCGTCACGTCCAGTTGTCGCACTGAACAACAAACTACCTCATGGCGTGAGCGACTTGATCGGCGTCCGGCCAAGGACACATTCTACATCAAACGGCGGGACGACCAAGGGCGAGCTACATCTTGCCTTCATACGGAGCGATCGCGCGGCGGCATCGCTTGGGTCCACATCACCCAGCAGTGTCAACGAGGTAATGCCGTAGCGTCCTTTGCGCTCCACTCGAGGCCAGCCGAGCGAGCCCAACCGTTGCCTGGTTGTTGTAGAAAGGACGGTTGTCGCCGAGGTTAACGACGGCCCCCCTCACGCTTCGTATCCTGTCGGCAAATCGAGTTCGGAAAACGTACGACGGACAAGACATTGGGCACTGCCACGCCACGGGCGTCCTCGTTTGTGGCCACAAGAAGACCATGTTTGGCTTCGCGCCCAAGCTCCACCATGCCCCACTCACGTTTCGACTTGCTAAAGTCTCGACGGAGAGATAGCCCCGAGGCGCTCCATTCGTCCGAGATAGCTAGCTTTGAGACAACTGGTTCTTCCTAGGCGAAGGCTGGGATTGCCCATGGCTGAAATGACCCAACTCATGTAGCGATCTGTTCACCCCCGTCTGGACACGCAATATTCCATCGACATGTGCGAGTGATACCTGGCTGCGCAAAGCGTGAGAACGTACAGCAACTACATCCGCCCGTTGATGCATTACGCAACTTGTACTGTTTGTACTGTTTCGACAGTGGCGGCGGCCACCGCCGCTTCCCATGCCTGGTTTTCTTTCCAATAATCGATCCAGACGCAGTTTGGACAACTCGAACCACAGCATTCGTGGCTTGCTGGGGGTTCCGGAGCAGGTTGAAGAGCGTAAGGGTCGGCTAAGCGAATATCTTTCGCTGCTACCCACGGTCGGTCCATTGTCCCAGGAAACTGCAGGCGGAATGGTGTCGTTGGGTCCGTCGCTGATTCGTCCGAGATGATTTTCGCCACTTCGTCAGGCTGGCGTCCAAGCGATGCCGCCAGACTTGGCGACATAAGCACCATGTCCCTCAATGCTGGTCGCCTTTGGGGCATTTGCGTCGAGAATGGAGCGGCGCGGATCCACCATCGGCCCATGGCGGCCATGCTCGGAATCACCGTGTGATGCGCCAATTGCATTTAGTCACAAACTCTGACGCGCCTTCGTCCTCAACGTATCAGCCAATCAGATCCAAAAATCATTCCAGCCTCTACCGTTGATTTTGCCAAATTTCCCAACATTTTGACAAAAGTTTGATTACTTTTTTGTCGTTTTTGAAATGCTCAAGTGACAGTCAGGTCGCTTCTGTAACTGCCATGGCGACTGACGGCGGGCGCCGATACGCGCTGTTCGACCTGGTGCGGTCGGGGGATATCGACTCTATCGCGACATATATCCGAGCGCATCATGCCTCCATCCGCCAGCGCTCGATTACGGTAGGGACTTGGAACTCTGTCGCATGTGCGGGGGATTCGAACGTCACATGCTACATAGGATGCGCTGCCGGTGCAGGTTGCGATGGATCTCAACCGATGGGACATTGTCGTGACCCTCGTTCGAGCCGACCCGGAACACATCACTTTGATGCTTCAAGTAGACGCTTTGTCTGTCGATCCGTCTCATCCTCTGACAGCCTAAATGTAGCCGTCCAACGTGTCCCTCGTTCAGGAAGCTATTCGACACAAAGTCGACGAAAGCATACTTCTCGATCTCATCGCGGCAGCGCCAGAATACATCGGGCGCCCCACATATACCTCTCTCGTGAGTATAGTCCGTCGCAACGAGGTCCGTTCGATTTAAGTTGCGGTAGGACACACCCAAGTACCCGATTTTCAGTCTCATCGACAGCAGCTACGTGGAGGCCGCCGCCGCGCTCGTCCTCCATAGCGGCCCTGGAACCTCACCATCTTTGAACCATGTGACTGACGACGATGGCAATTCGATTGCCCATGCCGCGTGCAAGTGCACGCGTCGTTTTCCACCCAACGCCTTGTCCGTCCTGTTGACCAGCTTCCTCACTGCAGTCAACTTGGACGGACAAACACCTATCCATGTCGCGGCATCCAGCGGAAACCTCCACGCGGTGCAGTGCGCTATGGCGCTAACCCCTCCGAGCCACGCACCTGTCGTGTGCGCCATCCACGATCGAGCGGGCAACCTTCCCCTTCATGCAGCCATCACAGACAGACAGTGGCATGTCGTTGTTCCGCTGGCAACGTGGTTTAGTTCAGCAGCAGCGGTGCCAGATTCCATGGGAGACCTTCCAGTTCACATCGCTGCAGGGTGTCGAGAGTGGGCAGTCGTCCATGCCTTGGTAAACCTGGCTCCACAGACGGTACTGCCCACTTGTACCAGCGAACAGCCTACAATACAACGTAGGTAGCCATCGAGGACCGTCTGGGCCGTTCCGTGCTACGACTAGCGCTGCGCGGAGCCGCGTGGGATGTAGCATCGACAATATTGAGCTTTCCAGACGTCTCCCTGCCGCGGGATGTCGAGTCGGTCGACGTGGCCGTCGAGCACGCACAGTGGCAAATCGTAGGACAGCTCGTGTCGAAGCGAGTCGCAGTGCCACAGCCATTGAGTACGATGAAGCTAGCCTGCCAACTGGGGGCTCCATCATCAGTGTTGGCAGGTCTAGCCGAGAGTTTGCCTCCCGTAGCGATTGAAGCATGCAATGAAGCCGGGAAAATGCACGATGGGGAGCTGTCGTGGACGACAATGGCTCTGGACGTAGCACTCCGGCATCGGCAATGGGACGTCGCTGCATGGGTGCTCGCGACGGACGCAACTGCAGCCCGTCGGAAGAATCGCATGCGACTGCTGCCTCTGCAGGTGGCAGCGGCCACTGTCTCATCAAGTGGCCCCCCCGACTGGCTCCTCCACCGACTCGCCGAAGCTCACCCACAAGCTGCTGTGGCGGTCGATCGGACTGGCACGCCTCTCGTGCATGTGCTTTGTCGGCGCCAGAACTGGGCTTGCGTTCGCGCTCTCGTCCGCGCATCCCCAGTCGCCACCACATCCGCTCGGGATCCCCAGGGCCTCTGCGCCGTCCACGTCGCGATGCTGCAGTACGTGATCTGCCATCCCCATTGCGTCTTTCGAGCCGAACGTGTCTTTGCATAGTTTTGCTCCAGCGGATGTGGTGGTGGATTTCGCGATTGCTGCGCCGCTCACAACATCCCTGGACGGGTCGACGTGGATATTGCACGACGTGTTGACCAAGTATGCGCTTTGCTTAAGCGGGTCCTCGGACGTCCCGCGGCTTGCGGCGGCGTTTTCGACGGCTTCCGACATGCGGCGCAACACGGCGTTGCATGTTGGCCTAGCCTGTGGCCACGTGGGCTTTTGCACGGCACTCGTGCGGGACCATGGCGTCGACCTATTTGCTATCAATGCGGCGGGCGATTCCGCGTTGGACCTGGCGCGACGTAGTTCGGATCCAAATCTCCGCGCCGTGCTCGCGCCCATGGACGTGACGACGTTGACCAAGGCAACCCCCCCGCCTGCTGCGTGGATGGAAAAACGAGATGCACGCGGTCAGTCGCCGCTGGTCCATGCCGCCCTGGCAGGACATTGGACAGGCGTGCAGTGGATGCTCCAGCACGGAGCAGATCCCGCCCCGATCCAAGCGTTGAAGCTTCCTCGAAACGTCCAGCGAGCCGTCGCAGCCAGTCAGCATGCTCATCTGGTCGTTCACCACCGCTATGTCGTTCACACAAATCGTGTGGTGGAAATCGATCCAAGTCCAGGCGATCAAACCTGCGTGGCTTTGGATCTCCACACCGGGCACAGCGTGCGGCTCGTGCCGTTCCAGTCCAAGCAAGCGCAGGACGCGTACTGTTTGCAAGTCGACTCGATTCAGCGCCGGTCTCCATGGGTGTGTGGCGTCCTGGATGCATTTGAAGACGATGACGCGTTTGTTGTCGTGCTGGAAGGCGCGGGGCACCACGGCGACGTTTTGGATTGTTTCCAGCCCCCAGAGCCGCCCCTCCACATCGCAAAGATGCTCGTCAGCGCCATGGCCGCTCTGCACTCGGGTGGCTTTGTCCATGTGTGCTGCGTACGTGACGTCGATGGCTTCCCCTGTCATCACGGCCTCGTCGACAGGCACCGGCAAGTTTTGCCTACATGATGCCGGGAATCGTCAAGGTGCACGACGTTGACATGTGCCGTGTCGAAGGCGATGCGACAGCCGCGATTGCAGCGCCGCGGACGTCCTCGCCGTGGCTTCGTTACCAGAGTCCAAGTGTGGCGGCTGGGATGCTCCCTCGTACGTATTCCACTCGGATGAGGGTCTGGCGCGTCATGCTAGCGCAGGGCCTAGGACCAACGACGACAGTGCGATGGTGGCCGTCCACCAAACAGACAATCTGTGGACCCTCGGCGTGATGCTGTATGAAGATGTCGAGGTCTTGGGTTGAGCCTAACGTTGGTGGCGGACCATGCTCGTAGATTTGAGCTGCTTGTAGCTGAACCGTTCATGGATCCGACGCTCGATGGCGTGGGTCTGCTCGTAGCGCTGGCATTCCCTTCCCAAGACGCCATGGACCGCCGCCTCGTCCGCGACCCCGCATTGCCGCGTCCTGCTCTCGATGTCTTGCGAGGGCTGCTGTCCATAGACCCGAGCGATCGACTACCGCTTCGCGCCATCATGGTAACGAGTGGCGACCGCGACATAAAGTCACGTCCGAGTAGACGTCCGAGTTTGTGGCCCCACCGCTGGCGTCACCTTGGCGCATCGCGTTGCCGAACCATCCACCGCCGCCGGATCGGTCCTCGGCGACTTTTCTCCCGTGGACCGCGTCCGAATTGGTGGCACTTGCGCTGCAGAATCACAAAGTCGAATTGGAACGGCACCACCGTCGGGTGGTTCTCGCCCAGACGGCGCCGTGCCAAGCGACCAAAGCACCGCAGGACATGCCGTCTGTAGCAGGGCCACGTCCGGTCGACGGCCTCGATCGACGCTCTCACGATTGCCCCCCCTCGACATCCGCACCCGTCCCAACCCCATGCCAGGACCACGATGACCCCCATGACGGACCAACTTCCCGTGCCTGCAGCGCGAGCCCAACTTTGGTGGACGCCACACACGTCAGCCACTCGTTCGTGGGCGAACGCGTGCGCAAACGCTTTCCAGACGGCATTGTATACCATGGCACTGTACGATGGCGAGGTTTGGCTGGCATGATCCGATCGTGTAGGTGTCGGCGCGGTCGGCGGCAGGCGACTTGTGGACTGTCGTGTACGACGATGGTGACAGCGAAGACGTGACGAAGGCTGAGCTCGCTGCGATCCTCGTGAAGAAGTCGGTCAAAGGCCACGTAGCCGCAAGCGACCCGCTGGCGCATGGACAGTCGGTGTGGCTCATGCATGACCACCAGTTGGTCGGTATTCCTCGATGCGTGCGTGCCATCAAGAACGGAACTCACGATCGCTTGCAGGTCGCCAGAGCCCGCGTGTGCGCGACGCCACCACCGGACCTCGTGCCCTCTCCACGGGGCGAACACAACGTTGTGTGTCTGCGCATCACAAAGCGCTTCACGGGTTTGCCGCCACGCACACGATGCGGACGCCCCGCCTGACGTGCATGGCTAGGAACGCCCGAGGCAGTCACCAACCAGTTTGTGAAGTGTGGAAAGAGCGCAACGTCGACGGCGGGGTGGTTTGTGTGGTGGCGCCTCTCGCAGTGCTTTGTTCCCACGGCTGACCCGTCGTAGCTCGAACTGGTCGTCCCAAACAGCAGTCCATCGACGACAAAGGGGATGGTTCCGATTCATTACACTTCCTGAAAGATATACTTGCCGTCTTGATTGTCGTCCGAGCCGTCACCATGGGGGGTGTGGATGGCCGAGTCCGCGTGGGGCGCCGTCGGGGCTGCCGCCAGGGGCGCATCCATCGAGTCGTCGTCGCCTTCCTTGTACCGGTGCAGACTCCGCTCCACGAACGGCGACGTCGTACTAAACTTGTCGGCGACCCAGATCCGAAGCACTTCCAGGCACGCGTTGTGGCCCGTTTTGAGGTTCTTTTCCAGCTCCGAGTTGAGCTCGAGTTCCCATTCCGTCTTGACTTCGATGTCGAGGCGATCACTGACAACCTACTCCCGCCACGCACGCATCATCCGTCAGGCGCGTGCCGTTGTGGCTCTGCGAGCAGCGGCATGCAGAACGTACCATCATGAGCAACGGGACAAACTGCTTGCGAATCTCCCGCCGGATCGACGGCACCTCGATCGCACGTGCGCGAAGGTCCTTGGTCGACCGGCCTTGAATGATGTCGGCGAGCCAGTTGGCCACGAACGAAAACTTGCGCAAGTTGGATCGACAGATCTCGAACCGGAGCAGCTCCAGGAGCTCTGCTTCCTGCGCGAGACGGGGGCACCGCGCCAGGACAAGCTCCTGGACCCGGCCAAACATGTCGTCCGTGTTTTCGAGGCCATGGGCGCCGAACGCGTAGCAGTTGCTGCACAGGTCGTACCTACACGAATGAATCAAGCACACACTGCACGAGCCGTGTCCATCACGGCAAGGGCGGTACATACCCCTCGCATGTGGCACACCGAAAGCGGTCACCAACGATCGGGCTCACAGAACACACGGCGCACCGCGTGCCTTGATGCGTAAACTTCTTTTCAAAATTCTTCCTTACGACGGTCTTGGCCGCCGTGGCAATCGAGCCCAGGAACGACTTGGTCAGCCCTCCACCGCGACTGTCCCCGCCACCGGGCGCCCCCGCGACAGCCACTGCAGGTGTACTGGGGCCGCCAAGGAACGAGTTGGACAGAAATCCGCCGCGGCGAGAACTGGCCGCATCGGCCTCGCCAGAGAACGAAGAGGCGTTTGACAGGCGGCGAAACAGCGTCTGGGGAATAGCTACATCGAAAGGCTTTAGGATCACGATACGTCGCGGTACACGTACGTTCGAGCTCGAGGGTCTCTTCGCCCGCCGCGGCGTGGTGGTCGGCGTCCGGAAACGACACAAACCGAGCGCGCTCGGCGTGGAGCATCCGCTTGGTGTGCAAGACGAGTTTGTGCGGCGCGTCGGTCAGCGACGGCCCCATGAAGACATGGCTGCCGCATTCGGAATTTTGCGTTTGGATGAACTCTTGCTCGCGGGGCTCGAGGACGAGCTTGACGTCCGTAGCGATGATCTGGCGCTGCAAGCTGTAGTATGCCACCTTGACGTGGTGCTTGGTTTTGAGCCACGGCAGGATCGTGCTCTTGAGCTCGGTCACGACCTCCGCTGACACGTTTTGCAGCACCATGTTTGTTTCCATCGACAGTCGTTCCTAGCCATTCATTTCGTCCATGTCCCGCCACACCATGTCACTCGTCACGCTCGTTGCACGATCGAATCACTCCAAACGCCGACAACCGTTAGATGGCGTGCAAGCCACCGACGACACTAGCACAAGCTCTCCCACACGAACGCAATATCAAAACGGGCACACAACGCGCTGCATCACGCGACTCAGAGGAACCGAATGCGACGTCCATGAACGACCAGTCCTCGGTAGCATTCCAGACGCTTACATTGGTGCCGAGGAGCACGCGAAGGATTCGGCTCGCGCCGTCGCGATGGGCGAACGGAACTTTTTCCAGAAAGCGGTCGAGGACGGCTGGGTCGTACGGGATCGCGCTGGTTGGGACGACATCCGAGTGGAGCTTCCACTTGCAGCTCATCTACGCCCACGTTAGTCCAATGTGTTGCCCACCATCACCTACGATATCGTCTTCGTCGTTGTGGTAAAACTGCTGCGGCGGCATCGGCGGCGGCGTCGACGGCGGCGTGTTGTTGATCGAGTCGTTGCTCGCGCGCACGTCGTGGTTCTACCATCGCACAAGTCAACATGTTGCTGTCCACGTAGACGCCGTGGAGTCGTACATTGTGCCGTGCGAGCTGCATTTCAAGACGACTGATCGTTTCTTGGTTCTCCTTCAGGCGACTCACTTGCATCGCTTGTTCATTGTCGAGGGTCGTCTCGAGCTCGTGCACGCGGTCCTTGAGCACCTTGATTTCGTCGTCTTTCATCCTGGCCACGGCATTCGCATCATCGTCGTCCTGCCAGACAGCCATGGGACACAAAAGTACTCGTACTTGAGTTCATGGTCTTTTCGATCGAGGTCTTTGACGAGCGCACTGTTTTCGTTGCGAAGGGCCGACACTTCAGGGTTCTCCTTGTCGGACTTGCGCGCGTCGCCAGACTCGGACCCGGAACTCGACCGGTTCGACGTCGCCGCCGTCGAGATCGCCGTGTTGAGAGAGTCCATGTTTCGTCGGCGGTTCTTCTTGTTGCTCGCTTCTAGCGCCGTCACCAGACCTCGCAACGCTTCGGTTTCCTCGGTTTTGAACTGGATTTCCTGGTGGAGGAACCCAATCTGTTTTTGCGCCGCGTCGAGCTTGGCCGTTTCGACGCTCAACAGCTCGTTCTCGCGGAAGACGTAGTCAAACTTCTTCTTCCACTCGGTCGCCTCGCGCTTTGTCTTGACGTACTCTGTCTCCAAGAACGACAGTTCGCGCATCTTGCCGACCAACTGCTCCTGCAACAACTTGTTTTGCTCGATCGCGTTCTGCTTTCTCGCATACATATCTTCGTTGCTGTGCATGCTTTGACGATGCATCAAGCTTGGACGTTCGTCGTCCATGCTCTAGATCGAATCAGGGTCATTCAATGGGCGATCGAAACAGGGCTCTCAGAAGCGGACAGGACTCGCCGCGCCGTAGAAGCGGCGCCGACGACGTACGTACCTCGGACGAGTTGGGGTGTCAATGACGATTGTCTTTCAGTCAGAACATGCCGAATAAAGACATTTTATCCGGATCACTTCGTTAAAAATATTTCAGAAACTGACGCGGAGGGCACATCGCAGCATGCGCGCGCATGTCCTTACGGCGCTGGGGAGTTGATGCGGAGAGGCTGTGAACATCACGGCTGGTGCATGTGCATCGGCTTTTGGAGGAATACTTGGCGTCAGCAGACAGGATGCCTGCTTTGCGATAACAGCCCGCGACAAGGACTACAGTATGATCGGGATGACTGGGCTCAGTGCGACGACCGTCGCGTGTGTCGGCCCGTCCAGTGGGGTTGTCGCGATTCGTAGCTGGAAGCACTCGTTGTCATGGAGGGCGATTCGTCAAAGGTCTGGATCGTTCGACCACCACACCTCGCTCGTCCACTTGGATGCCACAGGCTGGACAGTCATGCGGACGACTCACGACGTTTGCCCACGATGCTGCAGATTGGAGCATTGACATGCAGCGCCAGCTCATGTGGCTACAGTACTCGCATCGAACCCCGGCATGCCGGAGAGGGCTTTGCACAATCTCTGTGAGGCCAGACATCTGCCCGTTGAACATGGACGTGGTTTCCCAAGCTGGTCGACGGCGCATTGGGCGGCGCACCAAGGGTGAAATGTAGTCAACGACGGCTGGAACCTCATCAACGGCAGCAGGTTCTCCATGGACCAGCTCCATGCGTGCCATGCCGTGGGAAGCACCCTTCTCCATCAATGCCGCCAATGTCCTACCTACTCTACTGTCGGAGCGCCACCTTTGGTGATCCGCGCCGTCGATCGCCTGCATGGCCATGCTCAGTCGCTGCGGTCCAACATGCGACAACCAAGTCAACCTGGACGTGAGCGCCAAGTCCGATCGGCAGTGAGAGACTTCTACCACCAGCTTTTGTTTGGACGATGATCGGATCACGGGACCTACGCTTGGCTCCCGCACTCGACGAATCTTTGCCGCGCTCACCTCATTCGGGAGGCACTCGTGCGTTAGCAGTCAAGCACGAGAGCTGCTGCGGAGTGGGCAGCGAACAACAACTTCAGCTACGACATCGTCAACGCTCTCAACATCACACCATCCCAACGCCCCAGCCGTCATCACAATGCACTCCAAGGCCACTCCAAGCCGCCCCCCCATATCGCGCAAGAAGGACGAGAAGTCCAGCGGCAAGTGCCGACTTGACAACACTCTCGACAACGTTTTGAGCACGTTTGCGGCATGGCTGAACAAGGGATGGTGTGGCCATCGAGGAAACGAGTTTGTCGAGTTTCAATGCAGGGGGCGGCGATGGCCGAGTGAATTTGTGGCAAACCTTTCGTTCCACTCCCGAACGTTGGCATGTCCCATGGCAACGCAAGTCGCAGCCCATCGTGGCGGCGATGCAGGCATGCCCTCGACGCGCCCTGCCATCGTTGTGCAGCACAGATCTCAATCTGTGAAGGTCACTAGTGTCAGATGAACTCTGGAGCGTCCGTACTCGGGTTACTCTAGCGGTACTGCAGCCGCACGAGGTAGTCGCACCGCTTGTCGGGGGTCGCCAACCGCTGCTTGTCGACGTCGTAGCGGCTGGCTAGGACTGGAAAGATCGTGTCAAGTACTTGAAGCAGCATCGACGGCGACATGCCTTCGAGCTCGCCTTCATGCGCCACTTGCCGCGATTCGATCGCGATCTTCGTGAGAGCAGCCATGACGCGCCGTGTCACCGATAGTGCACGGTCCTTCTTCCACATCACCGACTTGTATGCACCATCCAACGCATCGCCTCGATGCCACAGCGGCCACATGGCCCTCGTGGACAGCGCTGGAATCGTTCGGGTTCCCGGCGGCAACGACCTTGCTTCGGGACTGCCGGTACGACTACCACTGGCGTCCTGCGACATTGCGAATGCGGGGCTGTGTGCGACCCAAGCGGCCGCTGCCGTACATAAAGTACCAGAGTCGACTGTGCACCCGGACTCGGTGGCAAATGTCATGACGACTTGGTCGCACACGATCGCAAACGTCGTTGGATCCATGCCGTCCACGAGCATTTCCTTGGACGACACTGACGGATGCAGCAGCGCAAGGTCGGTGAGCTTGGCAAAAAGCTGCTTGGTACGCCACCACCGGAGCTTGGATTCGTCCTCGTCGACGTCGCGCGCGCGGAGCTTGCACAGCGGCTCGATGCCCCTGGAGGGGGTTGAAAGCGGTGGGGTGCCGCGAAACCATAGTGTCCACATTGCTCGTATCGTTAGCGCGGGGAACTGAAATGGCTTGGGCGGTGGCGGTACGCACGGAGGGGACGAGAAAAAGAAATGGATCGGATCGGTGGCCACCAGCAAGGGATACGCCAGGGGCAACGCTCGCAAGAGCATGCCGTCGAGGGACGACTGCGGCAGGGCCGATAATTCCGTAAGAGATGCAAATCCTCTTGCATGGGCGAGAATCGCCGACATGACGTACGAGACTGCGTCGAGCGTCGGAAAGCGAGGACTATCGTGCGGAACGCGAAAAAGACGATATGGAACTCCCGCGTCTGTCCCCGTACTGTCACCGTGGAACCAGTACCGCCACATGTGCATGCAGTCAACGGACGGCACACTCCAGTGCGCCGACGGAACAACAAGCGCTTCGATAACGACGCCAGTAGATGGCCTGTCATCATCGCTATCGTCGCTGTCAACGTTGTGAATGGTGATAGGAGCGTCGATGGCGTCGTCCAGCGAGTCCAAGCATACATTGGCATTGGCTTCAGCGGCGCATGAAGCGATGGGAACGTTTAACAACGCCAACATGGCCGTCTGGGAGTGCAACGCATCACCAACGTGATGCCCTTGGAGTCGCCGCTTCATACGTTGTCGCCGTGCGCTACAAGCACTCGAGGGAGCACTGACACCTGGCATAGAGGGTATACTTTCTTGGCATTTGCGCACGCGGCAGACTTTGCATCGATGGGCTTCTCCCGACGTTGCGCGGAACCGCCCCGTGCACCTCGTCGCCATCTCGACGACCGAGGATTGGCCGCTCCTGATTGGAGGAGCAGCCCTTGTCAAAACCCATACACGGATAGCCTCTATAAATGAATACTCTCCATGGCACAGCCACTTTGGATCTGCCGACATGCCAGTGACAACGACCTCTGGCGCCGTCGTCCGCTTGACGCATGCGAGTTCCGGTGCCACCGCCGACGTGCATCTGTATGGCGCAACTGTAACATCCTTCCGCCCTTCCTCGGGTGCCACCGATGTCCTGTTCGTTTCAAAGAAGGCGCTCCTGGACGGCTCCAAGCCAATTCGAGGGGGCATCCCTCTTGTGTTTCCTCAATTTGGTGCAGGATTGGTGCCGTCCACGCTGCCGTCCCACGGATTTGCGCGAACTAGCACGTGGACCTTGGTAGACACAGAGGATTTTGTCGACTCCGTGGCCGCGACCTTTTCCCTCGCCACGACAAAACACCAGTTGGTTGCCTGGCCCCATGCCGTGCGACTCTTGTACACGGTGACGCTGTCTCGCAACCGCCTGACGACGTCGCTGCACATCACCAACACGGACACCGAAACGTGGGGATGCCAAGCGCTCTTGCACACGTACTTCCTTGTCCCGGATGCATCCCCTTCCCTGACGTCGTCCGTTTTGCCCAACGTCGAGATCGACGGCCTCGGGGGCGTCGAGTACACGTGCAAAGTTCGCAACGCATCCCTCGTCGAGTCGCGCGCCGCCGTAACGATCGCATCCGAGACGGACAGCGTGTACAAGAACACGTCCGAGCGATTGACTGTGCGTCTTGGCGAATCGCGCACCGTTCGAGTGGAAAAGCGCGCGTACGTTGTCGGTGGCGGCGCCGTCCCGAGCGATGCCGTCGTGTGGAACCCATGGACGGACAAGGCACACGGCCTTTCGGACTTTGCCGACGACGAATACCCCACGATGCTGTGCGTCGAGCCAGGGGTGGTGACCCGTGTTCAAGACATTCGTCCTCATGAAACACTGGTCTTGACGCAAACGTTGAGCCTGCTGTAAGGCGCCCATCTCCGAGTGCATACCAAAGCAATCTTTTATACATGGCGAATAAGACAATCGTCGTCCTCTGCTCTGCCGCGTTGTATTTCTTGCATGGGACGACGTCTCGGTTGCAGCCAACATATCGATTTCATTCAAAACCGAATTGACTTTTCATTATGTTAACAGCTCAAGAAGGCTATCAGCGCGCGTCGGCGCTCAGGAATACTACGGCGTGCACGAGCCAAACTGGAGTCGTTGTAGAACGACCAAATCCGGTTGAATTGCTGATGCGTGTTGAGTTGGAGCACCGCCGTCCACGTGCGAATCAAGTTTTGAATGGATTGTGGCGGAGTTGCTCCGACTGGGGCTGCACGTCTTCGAACACCAGGACGACCGCGAATGCACTTGGGCAGCGGCACCAGTTCGACAAACCAGTCTCCTCCCGACATGAGCAGCTGGTTTCGCCGCCGACACTCGCTGCAATGCATGCGAGCGTCCATTTCGTCCAACCGTTCCTCGATGCGCTACGTGGTCACACTTTGTCAGCTCACAAGGAAAGAGTTTGTACCTGCACGCTCGCTGTCAAGTTCCAAATAGCCTGTTGATTAGCCTACGGTGCATCTTGCTCAGCATGCAGTGAAGCTGCCACTGACTTACCTGCACAGCCGCTGTCAAGTTCCCAATAGCCTGTTGATTAGCCTACGGTGCATCTTGATCAGCATGCAGTGAAGCTGCCACTGACGTACCTGCACGGTCGCTGTCAGGTTAGCAAGAGCATTCTGGGCAGCTGCTGGAAAGAGCTGTTGGGCTCGTTGCGTCAACTGTGCATTGATGTGGTCTTGGATTGCAGCCGTGATTGCAGGGGTCAGCGGCTGAAGGGCCACCGCATTCGCCGCGAGAGCATTGTTTCCTTGGCCCGCGGGTGCATTGTTTCCATGATCAACTGTGGTAGTGCTTTCAGATCCTTGACACGGCATGGTCGACACACCGTTGCTCCGCGCGCTCAGCTTTCTGCATCGGCGCCTACATTCGGATAATGCGCTTAGTCGAATATCCGGATACTCTAATTCGGATTCGACAAAACCCTGGTAATGTTACTAGTACGTTTTTGCCACGTCAAGGAGACTTGAAGTTTGTATGCATTCATTCTATGGGGCAAATATATTCACTCATAATTGAAAATCTTGAAGATAACATAAGAACAAATATATTTGTCCACACCATTGTAACATTGCGCAACTGACACTCCAGTGAAGTCTATTTACGACAAAAAGACTTGAAGTTTGTATATGTTCATTCTATGGGGCAAATGTATTCACTCATAATTGAAAATCTTGAAGATATTACTTAAGAACAAATATATTTGTCCACACCATTGTAACATTGCGCAACGGACCCCAGAACGAATGCCTAGCGGGATTCACCGCTCTGTAGCGGCTCCAGCCAAACAACTCTTTTCAATTACCCCTGAACGAACAATGCGGCGATGGCGCGGACGTAGCCCGGAAGCGATGGAGGTGGCCCGGAACGGCTACGCCTCGAACGCTGCCAACGAGCGACGACACAGCACTTGCAACCCACCGTGGCATGTCTTGGTGGATGCAATGTACTTGATGCACCTCAGTGCGCCAGCTCGAATCAAAATGGGCTTGTACATGCCTACACCAGCATGAGTTTGACCCGACTTGCGCGGGTCTACCTGGCAAGGCCAAGACCTCGACAAGGCGAATGCATTGCTCCAACACCGGGGGTACTGTCGGAAACTGCGTGAGCGCTGACACGGCAAACGTGTGGGCACTGGCTTTCACGAGGACTTGGACGCGCGCCGGATGGACGACTGTGCCGCCTGGCCATGGCAATTGTCCTCAGGCTTTGAACCTTCGCCCGAACAAGCAAATCTCGATCTGTACCAGTCGGAGTCGAGACCTTGGACATGATAGCGACGTGTCCAAATATCACGGCGATCACAAACGCCAGGAATGCCACATTCGACGGCCCTCGTGTCTCGTGCGGCACGGTTGACCCTCGCGCCGCCGCCGCCACTACTTCTTCAAAGGTTGTGACGACAAGGAACGGAACTTCCTTGGCACAAAACGCGTCCTTGGCAGCCTCTGAGCGCATTCAGCGCCTGCCAACAACATCCACAGAGACGCACCATTGTCGCGCAGGGCTATTTCTAACGTTCGCAGCAACTGGTACAGTGTGTTGACATCGGCCACATGGACACTCAAGCACGTTTTCACTCGATCCATGCATCCCCATGCCAGATAGCTCTGCTGGGCCTTGGCTACGAAGCTTGAATTGACCCTCTTCCGACAGACCTGCTTGCTCTACCGAGCGTCGCCACATGCAGCTGAAACACGACTGCGGCGATGGCCGACACGACGGCAGCGTCCTTGAAGAACGTGTGGAGGCCCATGGAGAAGAGCTGGGGAAGGTCTGTCTTGAGCAGGCGGTGGGCTGTCAGCGCTGCAACAGCGTGAGTCCATGAAGTCAGCCACCACAATACATACCGTTCATGTACACAAGGTTCGCCGCCGCGCGCGCTGCGCCAACATACATCGCGGAGCACGCATGGGTCTGCATGGCCCTGTAGAGGAAGTCGAGGATGCCGCCTTGAACCATTTCTGTCTGGTTTGCCACTATCATGGCGACCATGCAGACGAGTTGCCCTACAAAAGAGGGACGAACCATGGGGAACATGGGGCTGCTCCAAACACAGCCGTGAGATCAATTCGCAGCCCATCACGTGGAGCTCGATGTTGGTGCTATCGAGTTTTATGGCGTCTTCGACGAACTTCCAGAGGCCAGACGTGACCACGCTGGCTTGGTGCAACTCCCCGTCGCTTTCTAGGACGCCATGGTCATGCGTCAAGGTCGCGCTCCATCGGCATTGTCGGGCTACGAACCTCGAACGAACAAACGTTCCAACAACACGCACACACACGACACAATCGTGAACGAAGTTGTATATGGCTGCACACATGCGCATATCCGCGGGATAAAGTTGTGGCTGCGAAGGTCTGTGTTGGACATGGGCGTGTTCCGCAAATGCCGCGCCATCTCGGTCAGGCTTCGCTTGACGGCATACGCATCCGATTGGTACTGTTCAAGGAGCTGCAGCACGTCCAAGACGCTTTCGCGATAGAAAAGCATGAGTCAAAGGATGCAGCGACCGCGTCGACAAGGGCTTGCGCAAAAATGTTCGATGGACATTGCAGACGAAACGGAATTCCTTGGCGCTCGTCCGGCGGCGGGTCGTGCCATCACAAGAAAGAACAACATGCATCCTGACCACGTCGAGAACCTTCTCAACTATTCGTGCACAGCATCATATATCCCAGCCCGCCATGTTATGTGTGATTCTGTGTCGGCCGACGAAGGCCGGTCATGGCGGCATGTGCTTGTCGACATGACATTTTCAACTGCTTTTCCTCCATGGCTTCAGTTTTAAATACATTTAAAACAAAATTTGTCGTCACTCCACGACGTTGTGTCTCGCGTCCTGGGTTTCAAATCACTCTCGCTTTCCACGTTCAGTCGTGCCCATCCGATGGGTTGACGGTAGCAGTACACATTGGGTCCATTCACTGGCAGCGCATCGTCGCGTTCGATCGCGCAAGGACATGCGCTTGCTTGCCATGCTTGCGTTTCAAACGTATTTTAAATGAATCGCGCTTTTCGAATGGTGGGATTTGGGCGTTTCAACGCCATCTTTTTTTTTCGAAATCCTCGGACGATGTGCATCATCCGGATAATTCACACACTTGACGTTTGTATGGGCGACGGCGATTTGGCACGAAAGATCGTGCGATCCGGATAATGACGCCATGTGCCCCTTCACACATCGCATCTTCCGTTACGACCCTTAAGCATTCCCCAACTTGACGGCGGCACAAGAAGACGTCGACATGATGAGCCCGATGACGCCGACAAACAACGATGACCTTGACAGCAATGGCAGACGGGGCGGCGGCACGGCGTACGAGCGCCGCGCGTGGACGCGAAAGGAAGACGATGCGATCATTCGACTTGTTGAAGAGTACGGGACGAAGCGATGGTCGGTCATCTCGGATCATTTGAACAACGAGAACTTTGGCAACGAACGAACAGGCAAACAGTGCCGCACTCGGTACGCGTGTCCTTGGACACGGTCGAAACTCACGACGACTCATGTAGATGGCTCAACCACTTGGATCCGTCGATCAAGAAAGATCCATGGACCACGGAAGAGGAAAGCATCATTGAGGATGCGCAGAATCGGCTAGGAAACAAGTGGGCAGAAATCTCCAAGCTGCTGCCTGGCAGGTACGGAGACCGCCCAGCCTTCGAACACGGGCTCGTCCTAGTCTCATGGCGCCATGCCGACATGATAGAACGGACAACGCGATCAAGAATCACTGGTACTCCTCCATGCGCCGCACCATGCGCCGCATTGCAAAGCAAGTCAACAAGACGACACCCACGAACATGCACGGAAGCAGTGGGAACTGCCCGTCGACTCGACCGTCTTCTCGACAGTCGTCTTCGTCGTCGCCCATGCTAGACGACATGGCGGCGAACCACGACGACATGCTCGTGCACCCTTCCTCTTCATCCTCTGGGCAACATCATCACTCTTCGGTGTTGCATGCCACCTCTCACAGTGGCCGCTCGTCGACGTTGTCCACCGGAATCACCCCCAAGCAAGCGTCGGCCTTTCGCGAATGCTACAACGTCCTCCTGCACAATAAAGAGAACCCCCCGCACGGATCACCGTCGCCGTTGTCAAACTCAAACTCGGCCATGACGGCAACCCCGCCCAAGAAGAGCCTTTCCAAACGAAAACGCAAAGACCTTCGCGTATGCACAGGCTCGTCGATCGAAGGCGGCATGTTCATGCCGTCGACGCCACGCCGATTGCACCACACCCAACTCCTTCTCACCCTGCTCTCGAACGCGTCGGAAGATCCGATGACCAAGTGTGCCAATGCCAAGCGAAAGAAGCGATCGGTGCCCCCGTCGCTTCCCGCTTCGTCGTCGTTCTCGTCCACCGCGGCCGCGCACGCAATGTCGTTCCCGCTCTCCCGCAGCTCTGACACGTCCATGGCACTGGCCGACCACTTTGCCTTCCACGACATTGAGAGTCCATTCCAAGCATTCGAATCGCTCGACTTTGATCTGAGCGAGGTATGCACCTCTCATGGATGTGCCGTCACCCTGATGCGGCATGTAGGCCGTGCCCACCGATCCGCTCTTTCAAGGACCTGCCACGACACCCACCCACAGCGAGCGCATGACGCCGTCGACGACGCCCGCCCCACCTCCGCTCTCGTTGTTCAGCGTGCGCCGATCCCCTCACATGGCATCGCTCTTGAAAACCAACGCCAAGTTCTCGTTCGACGATATCGACCTCGCGTCTGAAATGGAGCAGTCTTCCCTGGACTTCTACATGAACATGGAGTCCCTCCCGACCGTGCTTCGGCGATCGCCGCGGCTTCGAACAGACGTGTCCGTGGCGTTTCCGTCTCCATCGTCGGCCGCTACGCCGTTGTCGTCCATGATGAAAAAGTCAGCCTTCCACCCGCCCACGATAGACGTTGCGCTCGGCCTCCACCACGACACGTTTGGCTTTGACAACTCGATGACGCCGTCGCTGACGAGTCCCCAGCTCAGTCAATGGCTGGATGGATCGCCCCGTGGCTTTGCCACCGCCGTGTAAGATGCGCGCCGCGTCCCCGTGTTGTCAAGTGTTCTTCCATCTTCTTCTGTACAACCACCCCCCTAGATTTATTCCCACTTATGTACGCCTTGAACGTGTGTCGAGTTGCAACAGCTCCCATCCGTCGCTGCCATCTCTTTCGGACGGCATGCCGACGCCATGCGTGCTCCCGAATGACGCCACCTTGCGCCATCACGCCAACCGATGGCGACGCATTGCGATGTAGATGTTGTGCATTTGGTGGTCGTCGTCCATCGCCGTCGATGAACAGTCCATGCAGCACAACTGAGATTTCGTGGGTGCATTCTCGCGCTGCCGCCGCGTTTGGCGTAGGTCGGCAACTCGTCCATGCGTACGTTGTCATCCAGGTGTGGATATCACGGAAGGGGTACCCTCGACTGCGCCGTGATGCGTGGCGGTGGACAAGCTAAGCACCTAAAATTAAAAACGATATAACATATAACCAATATAAATTTTTAAATATAGGGTCTACAAATTGTACTTTGAACTTCACGAGAAGCACGATGACAGAATCCAAGCCATCGAGTAAGAGGTGGCGGGCGATCGAATTTGCATCCTTCCTCATGCAAACAAGAGATGCGAAGACGCATCGACGATCGTGCGAGTCGGCCTGGTCGCGTGTGCTCTGGCATCTAGCTGCACCATGGGCATAAGGTCATAGCAGAGCGCGACGACGCCATGGCGACTCGCGACCGAGACGTCGTTCCATGCAAGAAATACAACGCGGCAGAGCAGAGGACGACGATTGTCTCCTTCGCCATGTATAAAAGATTGCTTTGGTAGGCACTCGGAGATGGGCGCCTTACAGCAGGCTCAACGTTTGCGTCAAGACCAGTGTTTCGTGAGGACGAATGTCTTGAACACGGGTCACCACCCCTGGCTCGACGCACAGCATCGTGGGGTATTCGTCGTCGGCAAAGTCCGAAAGGCCGTGTGCCTTGTCCGTCCATGGGTTCCACACGACGACATCGCTCGGGACGGCGCCGCCACCGACAACGTACGCGCGCTTTTCCACTCGAACGGTGCGCGATTCGCCAAGACGCACAGTCAATCGCTCGGACGTGTTCTTGTACACGCTGTCCGTCTCGGATGCGATCGTTACGGCGGCGCGCGACTCGACGAGGGAATCGTTGCGAACTTTGCACACGTACTCGACGCCCGCGAGGCCGTCGATCTCGACGTTGGGCAAAACGGACGACGTCAGGGAAGGGGATGCATCCGGGACAAGAAAGTACGTGTGCAAGAGCGCTTGGCATTTTCACATTTCGTTGTCCGTGTCAGTTTCCGACAGTACCCCCGGTGTTGGAGCAATGCATTCGCCTTGTCGAGGTCTTGGCCTTGCCAGGTAGACCCGCGCAAGACGGGTCAAACTCATGCTGGTGCAAGCATGTACAAGCCCATTTTGATTCGAGCTGGCGCACTGAGGTGCATCAAGTACATTGCATCCACCAAGACATGCCACGGTGGGTTGCAAGTGCTGTGTCGTCGCTCGTTGGCAGCGTTCGAGGCGTAGCCGTTCCGGACCACCTCCATCGCTTCCGGGCCACGTCCGCGCCATCGCCGCATTGTTCGTTCAGGGGTAATTGAAAAGAGTTGTTTGGCTGCACCCTGTAGTGGTGGATCAAGTGACAGCTTCATTGCATCATGCTAACCAAGAGGACTCTAGGAAAACCATGTTGCGATTCAACAGGCTATTGGGAACTTGACAGCGAGCGTGCAGGTACAAACTCTTTCCTTGTAAGCTGACAAAGTCTTACCACGTAGCGCATCGAGAAACGGTTGGACCAAATGGACGCTCGCATGGAGTGTCGGCGCCGGAACCAGCTGCTCATGTCGGGAGGACGCTGGTTTGTCGAACTGGTGCCGCTGCCCAAGTGCATTCGCGGCCGTCCTGGTGTTCGAAGACGTGCAGCCCCAGTGGGAGCAACTCCACCGCAATCCGTTCAAAACTTGATTCGCACGTGGACGGCGGTGCTCCAAGTCAACACGTACCAGCAATTCAACCGGATTTGGTCGTTCTACAACGACCTCAGTTTGGCTCGTGCACGCCGCAGTATTCCTGAGCTCTGACGCGTGTCGATTGCGTTCTTGAGCTGCTAGCGTAACTAAAGGTTGATTCTGTTTTGAAAGAAATCAACTTCTTTTCATGGACTCACCCAACTCGATGACACAGCGCGATGCGATTCATTGCGCTAGGAGGTCAAGAGCGCAATCAACGCGCGTCAGAGCTCAGCAATCCTGCGGCGTGCACGAGCCAAACTGAGGTCGTTGTAGAACGACCAAATCCGGTTGAATTGCTGATGCGTGCATGCAGCACCGCCGTCCACGTGCGAATCAATCTTTGATGGGATTGCGGTGGAGTTGCTCCCACTGGGGATTCAACCATGGCACGATGTCTTGGAACACCAGGACGGCCACGAATGCACTTGGGCAGCGGCACCAGTTCGACAAACCAGTGTCCTCCCGACATGAGCAGCTGGTTCCGGCGCCGACACTCGCTGCAATGCATGCGAGCGTCCATTTGGTCCAACCGTTCCTAGATGTGCTGCGTGGTGAGTCTGCGTCATCACTTTGCATGAAGTGTGTCCAACAGGTTTACCTGCACCGGCGCCATTCCAGCATTGGTTGCACCTGCGTCGATTTTGCCGAATGACTTGGGGCGACGGAATGGCTCGTCCGAGTTATCCGGTGCCTTTTGGTTATCCGGATATCTGACGTGTTCGATGGAGAGCTCAACCTGCAACAATGGTGCAAGTGTGGACCGAGGCGAAGGAAGACTCGTTGTGGCTGGTCTACTTCGTGGGCTTCATCATGCCGCTGCATTCGCTGCTCGTGATGTACCTCGAGTCACGTGGCAAGCGAATCTCAAGCAGTCATGTCTTGATGTGGATCTCAAGCCTCACGCTGTTCTCCACGCTCCTACCACTGGTACAGGATGCGCAACGCCGCCATCTTCCGCATATCTTCACTCACGTGGCAACATGTAGCTTGTCCGTCAACGCATTCAAGCCCAAAGCCCCTATCGACTCTTGGGCGTACGTGTCTCCACGTGCTGTTGTGCTTTGGGCAAGGCAAGACGTCGTGGCATGACAGGCTCCTCCTGTCTAGGTCAGTCGATACACCGACGCGTATACGTGGGCTCAAGTGTACGCTGCTTTTAAGCAGCACTTCACGGAGGGAAAACTGGCGCCTGAAGCGTGGTCTCAAGTGGACGCTGCTTATGACGTACGTGTACGACTCGACGTTGAATGTGATGGCCAAGTGGAGTGGTGGTGCAGATCTTGTACGACCAGCGCACTCGCCAAGCCCACGACGCATGGGGTCCCGACTTCCAAGTGCAGCTGCAAAAAGACATGGCGTTCAATGTTGGATTGTACTACATGATATGGACCGTTGGCGTGTAAGTCATCGAGGCAGCATGAATGTCGTGATGTTCATCGAACTCAAAGGTACATTGCGACGGCGGGGCGCAAGTACCAGACTGGGCGAGACTTGTCGATAGCGGCGCTGCTTGTCGTACGATGGACCTCATGTCGTCGCCAACGTGATGGCATGTTGTTGTGGACTAGACTCTCGTGTTTGAGTTGACTGTGCGATTCTTCAGCTACGACCCTCGCATCACGCTTCTTGCCCAAACCACCCCGTACGAGCTCGTCATGGCACTCCATGTGTACGTTCAACGATATGTCGCCTCGATCGATCGCTTGTGAGTATAACGATGTGATGCAGGATCTTCCCGGCATGCCTCCTTGGGTACAACTCGTGGAAGCGGCTCGTTTTTGTCGACATGCTGCAGCACCGGAATGCTTGCCTCCAATTTGCACTACGTAACAACGAGGTGGGCACATTACACTCTTCATGCATGGCTCTGGATGTACCTGACATTGTCATGTGAAGGCAACCCGTCGCAAACTTGGCGAGCTGTCCGAGGCGGCAGTTGCCGCCGTCACCCGTGACGGGACCGAGTCGTAGGGATGCAATGTCGTTTTTCCGCGTTGCAAGTTTTCAAAAAAGTTCAAATTTTTTCCAAACGTTGGGGACCGAAATTGCCAAATGTCCTGCAATATACTAAATAATTGGAAATATATATTGAAATATTCTCGGCAAATTTGCCAAATTCAACGGGATCCACCCCGAATCTTGTCAGAATGAATACGGTTTGAAAATTGAATCGTAGAGGTCTCGAACTCCCTCGCACCACACAACCAGCAGCAACGGGGCATCGACAAGCCATGGCAGACTACAATCGCGACAATGGACGTGGCGGCGGACCCAACGATCGTGCCAGTGGCTACGACGACAACTACCGCCGGCGAAAGCGGTCGGATGACAGCACGCAATACGGAGGAGGCTACAGCAACGACGGGTACAAGCGTCATCGTCAGAACGATTACCGCGGCAACTCGTCTCGCCACGACAACTATCGAGGTCGGGACAACTACCGCGACCAGCACCACCATCGAAGCGGAGACGACGACGCGTTGGAACTGCGCCGTCGAGTCATTTCGTTGGGCGATAGTGTGAACGTCAATGACTCGCTGGCCGTGCGCGATGTGCTCACGCGATGCGGCGACTGGTTGGGCGAGCAGCTCATGTTCCAGGCACAGGAGATTGCCGCGCTCGTGGTCACGTGTGCCGGTCGCCTGAGTGCCAAGACGGAATGGTACGGCATGCTCACGACGCTGCTGAACGAGAAGAACGCGGTGTTTGGGAAGAAGGTCGTGGAGCTCGCGTTGCAGGCAATCCAGACCGATTTGACGTGGTGGGCGACGAATGATTCCAGCACAACCATCCACGACGTTCCTGTTCAGTTCCAGCGCATCAAGTCGCTCGTGCGATTCATCGGCAACCTGACCACGACCAAGATGATCTTGGCTCCCGATATGGTCGCTCTCCTCGCAACGTTGCACAGCATGTGCGCGCAGCCGCTGGACGGCCACAACACGACGGCACGCGCGTACCAAACGGCCTTCGCGGTCAAGGACTACTTTTCGTATATCGTGCTCGACACCATTCTCCACGTAAGATGCCTCGTCGCGATATCCTTTAACGACTCTCGGATGGCACGTGCTCTAGTGTGGCCACACGTTGGTTGTGGCTGCGGCGGACCCGCTGGACCAGCTTCTGGCCCAGTGCGACGACTACATCACTTCTCGCGACGCCCAAGACGACTCGAATCGTCTTGTGCCGGGGAATACGTGGCTCTTGCAGCGGATTCGGTTGAACTTGCTGGTCGAACCCGAAGACCCGGACCATCTTCCGACGTTTGCCAAGGTGTGTGCATTCGATGCCGACAATAGCTTAACACGGGGGTGGTGGCACGCGTCCTCTGTAGAATTTGGACCCGCTGAACGTGGTGTGGAAAGCAGTACAGTCTCTGGTCACGGTCGCCAAGCAGATGCCGGCTACGACGACGGCGCCGGACGGTGCGGACCCCCCACTCTTCCATCCGCAGTGGAAAATTCAGTCTCTGCTGTACCCGCTGCTTAACTTTTTGCCGGTCGTGCGCAAGACGGAAAGCGCGCCGCTGCCGTCTTCGATCGTGACGTGGGACGGCATCTCATTAACTCAGCTCTCGTCCAAGGTGCCTCCATACCCTCTCGTCCATCGCATCCTGGACGACGACAGCGGGCCGATTGGCAGCGCCATCGGGAACATGAACCTTCCGTCTTACCTGATCTCGCGGTCATATTTCGAAGACATTGTCGAGTCCTTCCGGCCTAACCCGACCGAGGCTGCCAAGCAACTCCTGGCGACGTGCCGCGCGCTCAACGGGCGCTGGAACCTCCAGGCAGAGTACATCCTCGTCGAAGCGCTGCTCGTGTCGATCTTGAGCGCACCAGCCGCCGACAACATGGTCGCGTACGGCGGCGCGGTCCTCTTCCACCTACTCAAGCAGGAAAGCAAGACAATCCAGTCGGCATTTGCAATCCTTGTCGAGCTGCTCTTCCGCCGGGTGCCGCTCATGCCGATGAACGTCGTCGACACGTTTGTGCGCCTCTTTGCGCTCTTTTTGTCCAACTTTGAGTACAAGTGGCCATGGGCACACTGGAACTACGTCCTCGACGCGCAGGCGGACGATGCGCAGCGCCTGTTTGTGTCGGCCGTCATCGAACGCTGCGTGCGGCTGAGCTACCGCCAGCACATGCAGTCCATCTTGCCCGAAACATTTCACATGTTGCTGCCGCCCGTCCCCGTCCACGTAATCCGGTTCCGCCAGGCCGAAGGGGGGGTACGATGTCACAATGCATGCGGGAGAGTTCGCTGACACGTCTGTAGGACGCCACAATGTCGTCGGATGGCGCGCGGTACGAGCAAGTGTTTGGCAAGATCAAGGCGCGCGAAGGAACGACCGCAATCGAGGCATGGATCGATGCCCAAGGCAAAGATGTCGGGCTCGAAATGGCCGTCGCGGCTCTCTTGGACGCAGGGTCGGCCACATTTACGCATTTCCGCACGCTCCTGGACAAGTACTTGCCTGTGTTGATGCATGCGATCGATGCAAATGGCGACGGCGGCGTCGACCGCCAGGTGGTCGTGATTGCGACCGTGAGCAGCGTATGGGAGCAGTCTCCGCAGCACGTGATATTGATCCTCAACATCTTGCTGCGCCATCGCGTGCTGTCCCCGGTCGCGATTGTCTCGTGGCTGTTTGGCGCTGACGCAGTCCAGCAGTACAGTTGGTACGTCGACTCGATGCGTTGTTTTCCCATCCATTGTTGGGGACGAATCGAGCTGTCCGTAGGCCGTATGTGTGGGAAATCCTGGACCACACAATGCGATATGCGCTGGAGCAACGGCCCGCTGCCGACACCGCCGCCGTCGACGAGCTGTTTGTCGCTGTGTTTGAGGTACGATGGCATGAAGCACACCACACACCACGCGGTGCCTCATGTCGACGTGGTGGGGATTGCACAGGGATTGTCTCGGGTGATTGCGGCCCACAAGGCCCAGTGCGATAAGGACGGGACGACTTTTAAAGACAATTGGTACGCGAGCACGTTGGCGCGGCTCCAGTCGTTTGGGCGAGACTTTCGCGTGGCGCTGGACCCGCTGCTGGCGTCGCTCGCAACGACTGTGTTTGCCGCCGAGCGTGCAGAGCACGACGTTCGGGTGGTGTTTGCCACGTTGCAGGCGTCGTTCCAGCGTGTGTAGGCCGATGCCGTCGACAGCCGGTGGCCAGCCAGACGCCGCCCACCAATGCGCGGCCACATGATTTGAATGAGACCACCGTATATCGATGTTTACAACAAACAGGTCGTAATATTGTCATGATGGTGGCGCATGGCCTGGATTTCGAAACGTAAACGTTGTCGGCCGCTTGATGATCTTGATCAAGTCGACGACGGCGCCGACGGTCATGCGCGCGACGTGTGTGGCGCCGACGTGTGTGAGTTCCGCGCCGACATGGACGGTCTTGGCCAATTCGACTTCGCCCACTTCGTCGCGCGGCCCGCGCTTGAACGACCCAACGATGGGATACCGGTTGCCAGGCAGCTCCTTGAGCGACATGCGCAGCCCAACGCTGTGCACCGTCACCGACACGACTCGTTCGGTACCGAACGACGTTGGTGACGATGTCGGAGAGCTAGTGACGGTGTTAGCTGTCGTTGCCTTGGTGCGTTTCAGCTCGGGGTTGGCGGATGGCGGTATGTCCAACGCCTGGTTGTTGTCATGTTTGATGGCCATGTCGGCCACGTTGCGACTGCTGCCCGAGGACATCTTGCGCTTGTACTTGGACCGGCGCCGCTGCTTCTGGGCTATCAACGGCTCGTCGTCACTGGTGCAGGGGCTTCCGTTGCGTTCTTCTTTGGTCGGGGTGACAGGAACAGCGACCGTCATTCGAACCGAAACGTCCTTCGTTGGGACGGGTGATTCAGCGAGGCTCGAGGTCGCCGCTGTGACGGGTGATTCAGCGAGGCTCGAGGTCGCCGCCGTGGCGGGCGATTCGGGGAGGCTCGAGGTTGCCGGTAGGGCGTTTCCAGGAGGAAAGTTGAAAGCCATGTCGAGCCGATTCGCAGTGTACCCCGGCGGCGGGTCGTTCCGTCCATTTAGAAACGGGTGCAGCGCATTGATATCTGCGATGGACATAATGTCGACCTTGTCCGCGCGGCACAGGCGCAGGTACTCGGCATAGCTCAGGTGGCGATGCTTGGCGTACATGGCAATCGGGCCAAGGGTCAGCGGCGTATCCGTCTTCATTTTGCCGAAAAAGCCTGTGCACGTCGACGTGGGAAGGCAAAAGATGACGGAGTTGCCGTCACCATAGCACGTGACATGGGTCCCGTCGATATGCAACCGGTGGTGGTTTGCGATCGCTTGGCGGAGATCGACCATGACGGATGACCATCCATTCGCAAGGGCCAACCGTTTGTCCGATTGTGTCGATGGTGCGGACGGCACACGTTGATACGGTGCACGAATCGTCGAGATGGTGTTGCTACCGCTCTTGGTGGTGACTTCAGTTGGCACGGTTTGGAAGGGAACGATCGCGGCGCTAGATAGACACGCCCCTGGTGCGTTCTGACCTGACTCTGAAACGATGTGGAATGGCCGTGGCGGTTGCGATGCGAGGAGAGGAGGTGCCGTGACTTCTTCGATAGGTACAACGATCTCTCGAAGGTCCTGGCGAATTCAATCCGTGATGACCAGGATGAACACGCGAAGCATGGAAGACTTACGGAGGGGTTCATCATCTGAAGGACTTCTTCCTTCGAGAGGAGGTCGACATCACCGTCGTCGAACTTGGCTTCATAGTACAACACGCCTTGGAGGATGACAGCCTTGGACAACCTCAATGTGTACACCTGGTTCGAATCGTACGTGTTCTGGAGCGCCACGCCAAGGAACGGGTCCACTGCATGCTCTAGCACTTCGGCAAATGACACTTCATATGGTGGACATTTGTTTGGGTCGGTCCATTCGATCGCGCACATGTCGCTGATTGCGTTCGACGAGAATTGAGGTAGAATCTCAGACTTGGGGTCTAACGACCGGATGATGCCAGTGCCGCGGTCCCTCAAAGTCACGTTTACACCTACACAGTCAGTTGGGCG